GACCAAACATATGATATACTGTACTTTATGTTCATTTTAAAAATAGTATTCAACGACAGAATAAAATCTCAAAAACAATTCTTATAAATATTTTGATAATAATTAGCAATAGTTTTGTAGATATAAATTAATACTATTTAATAAACAAATGATTGCATCAAAGAATTTATTAACAATTCTTTAAACAACAATTAATATAACAATCGATAAAATATTGTCAACGAATTTGATAACAAAATAATAAAAATCTAATCATTCATTAAAGATATTAACAAAACAATTAAAAAATCAAACATAATATATGAAAATGCATTCAAAGAATCGCAATCATTAAAAACACATAATTAATAAATAAATAACAGATGATTTCAACACGAGAAACATTTACAAAATAAAAAACAATTATTAGTATAATATTAGTGGTGGTTGTGGTGGACGGGAAGGGGGAGGGGACGGGAAGGGAGTATCGGGAATAGTGTTAGTGTTTGTGTTGAGATCTAGTGTGGGTTTTCTCTGAGTTTTCTGCGTCCGAAGAAACCTTTGGGCTTATTCTTCAAGGGATGCAAAACTGTTAAATCACTTAAAATAAATTTTTTGCACTTTTGGTCGCAGTGTTCGGCGATCTTGACGTCACTCTTTCGGTAATAGAGTTTGTAGTAGTTTTGGAAGAGATTGTCGTCGGTCTCCAACTTATGGACTAATTCGTGCCACGAGTGCGGACTCATTGAACTCAAGTTAAACGTCTTCATCGCCTTGTATTCGGACACCCATTTCGGGCCTTTCTTTCCCCGATTGGCTTCCGTTAAGTTGAAGTAATAGGTCTCGTGATCCACGAGATAGGCCTCGGAGTCCATGTAATAGAGCCGATACGAGGGGTTGTTCTCCGTGAATGGGGTAATACTGGGCCCGATATACGCCAAATTGATGGGCATTTCCGGATAGTAGGGAGAATACAAGAGCCGAAACTCGTCTCGATGTGTGTGACCGTAATATTGGGCCAAAACTGTGTCCTGGAATCTGTCGATTATGCGCAAGAAGTTGTAGAGCCAGGCCTGAGTGCACTCGCGATTGTCGGGCGGTATGTGTCCAATGATATGCACTTTATCGCCGTTGGTCTCCGCTTTGAACAGCTCTTCGCTGAGCCATTGGAGTTGATTCGCCGGATCGACCGGATTGTAGAGACTCCACGGGTTGAGACGCGCGCAGTAATTGGTGTTTATGCACACAATCCGGAATCCAGTTCGGGGTTTGACTGTATAATAGCCGCCACTGGAGATAATGATAGAGAATACGTGGTGTGAATAACACTCTTTTTGTTCAATTGTTTTGTCAAATTAATATAATTATTAATAACATGTTTAAAAACATAAACTGATTGCTCACTATCGGAGTGTTTTGATGGCATCCTTTGGCAGCCAATAATCCCATTCATCCGCCACTGCATTATAGAGCCATGAGATAGAGTTTTCTCCTTTTACTTCAGGCGGTGGGAAACTGTGGGACCAATTGTGAGGTTAATACTGGCATTACTTGAGCGCAAAAATAAATTTTTCCTCGATAATAATATCTACTCTTATTATATAAACTCATAAAATATGTAACAAAAGAGTTCCCAATCGTAACCATAATAATAATAGTAAATGTATTTATTAGTGAATAGCCCGGGGGTTGGAGAAGGAGTTAAGTAACTACTCGTCAATATATTTCTCGTAGAAGTGGTTCAACAATCAGTTTTAGTTTAGCATAAATTCACACACAATCCGGAAGTCGCGGAAAAATAAATAACATTAAACATTACATAAAACATGTAAACATTTTAGAGTGCGATAGAGAAGAAAAATTGAATGTGATAAATCTAAAAAATTTCTTATTTTTTTTGCTGTAGATTAGCTTAATATTTGTTTTTTCATTAGTGTTTTCATTTTTTTCAAACAGATATTTGAAAAGTTTATGAGATTATGAGAGCAGTGGAGGAACACAGAGAGGAAGTGTCAACTGATCATCTGATTTGGGATTTGCCGGTATATGTCATACATATTACCAGTAAATCCGATAACTGGAAACTAAAACCATTTTTCGCAATCATTTGGTGACTAAACCGAAAGGAAATGAAACATACATTTTATGGTTAACTACTTTTTGTTGAAGGTTTTCGTGACATAACACACATATCCGAGAATCGACACAACGATATGTGTGTTAATTATAAATATTAATAACAGGACAAAGAGCAGGGAATACCTGTTGACGGGAACGCCTTCATGATTGCCAATAACGGGATATACGGGAACTCGTGTGTATTGTTTCATCAAATTTGTCACTAATTTCACTTGAGATAACACCTCCTTTCGGCTCACATTCCAGATATCGTGCGGCGCGATATCTCCCGTCCACATCCAGTACAGCGCCTATACGTGTCATACATATCATAGCAATCATTAATATTCATCGTCAAAGACAATGGCATTCTTTAGAAATATTTAATTATATTTTTTTAATTATTATTTCTAACTAAAGAAATGGCATTACGTTTGGATGGGTTTCGGAGATGTGTTTCAAGGCGTGCCTTAATGTGGCGATAGGTGTGTCACAGTTACGATAGTCGCCCCAAACGCCCGCTGCCTTCTCGGGACTGGTGGCCACTCCATCGGCCGGTCGGCAGCACAAGGGTTCGCCGCAATCGGCGTTCATTCCGGGCGTATAGTAGGGGTCGACGTGCAGATCAGTCACCTGAACCACTTTGGCGTATGACTTGAGTTTGGCGCTGTCCTCGTCAACGATATCCCCTTCGCTGCTGTCGTCGGCCCTCCTGTCGGCCATATTCTGCTTCTCCGGCAAACTGATAGTCCAATTGAGGTTTTTGGTTGTCCTGCGGGCGCAGTCCATACCAAATATCACTCCACACATCTCTCCCCGTCTTAGTGTGGTATGGGTTCTGATGTAATCGAGATCGTCCTAAATAGTTATCATACATACAGTTATTGAGGGCTCTATTAATGCTTGTGTTTATGTCATCTGCTCTTCACTTTCACCTGAACTTCAATTCCCACTTAACATTTCAAACAAACCTAACATTGCATTGCATTTAACACTAGTTTTCTTCTTATAAGTGTGTTTTTTTTCAATTATTTATTTATTTATTTATTTACACATTCCTAACGACGACTACTGATCTAATGATCCGCTTTTTTAATAACAATTAAGATCTTGAGATTGAGATCCGGAAATATTTCAATAATGACCCCAAAATGATAATCTTTAAGCATTTGGATCTGTTCTTAATTATACATTAAATGCATGTTTAATACAGTATTAAATGACAAACAAATATATCAATTCTAGGGCTGACCGGAAATCTAAACGTCAAAACTGACTATTAAAGCGAAATAAAAAGTTTATTTTTAAAAAACACATTTCATTGCAGAATATTTCCTCGTTTACAATGAAAACAATATTTTGCTTTAATTTCATAATATAATTAAAATATATATAAACTAACGAAAAATATTGTGAATAATATACAGAAATAAAACGATAATTACTGTAAATATGCGAGAAATTATGAAAATCATGTTTTGTTATCAATAATGCGAAATATGAATGAAAGGTATATAAAAAACACTAAAAAATCTTATTAAAACCTTTTTTGTAAACAATTTACGGTAAAAAAATAATAAACAATTTTTTGTTGATTTTCTATATTCTGTCGCATATTTACCCCCATATTTGAGTTCAATTAGAAACACATTTATTTTAAGTGCAAAATAAAGCATTTTTTACTAATTATGTTCAGGAATTTGTATACCGAAGAGAGAGTGAAATGCGAACAAAACTCTCAAATGTCTTAAAATAAAATCATTTTCTCTTATTTTTGCATTGAAATGCAAAATCAATAAAATGCATGAAATGTAACCCAAATTTTTCACACAAAATAACTACAATCTAAGTCATTGTTTAGCTTAAGGGTTCTCAAATCGTGTGCATACATGCTATTATTCTACGGCCATAGAGTAATAACAATATGCATAATAATTACAACTGTGTAAATATAATTTGAATATAATAAATATTGTGCACAACAACAACATTAGTCGACAATAACTAAACAATTAAAATCAATTAAAAACAATGACAATCAATACCTTAAACGACTCAACAATTCCCGAACAAACACGCGGTGTCTGTAAGCGAAAGGACGTGCAGACAGTGTTGACGGCAACGGTCATCATCTCCTTGGAGTAGATGGACGACAGCAGGAGTCCGGCCACAGCATTGCACGCCAGACACGACGCCCGCGACGATATGCCGTCTCTCATCTGAAGGCTTAACTACATATCATTTGATTGGAAAATATTTTATAATAACTGCATATAAAATCAAATCAAAAAACTTTATTTAGTTTTGAAATATTTTTGTTGTTCAAAAAAGTAGTTTATTTATAACATGTTTTTATTTTCTCTTCGAATCTAAATCTCGATACTTTCAGATCTAAATGAATCAAATATTTTCCATTAATAAATCTTTTTACATATTTTTTTCATTTTCTGGGATTATCTCCAAATAGAAATGTTTAAAAGGTTTTTAGAATTAAATACTTTTCTGTTTTAAATGCCTTAATTTCCTCAATTATCAGACAATTATATAAATCAATCAAATTTATGTTTAATTGAATTTACGCTAATTATCTACTTCCGATTAAATGCATCCAAAAATTAATCTCAAATACTTTGAACACAAATATTATCTAAATTCACGACAAATTGTTTCTTTTGGTATGTTTATAGTAAAAACAAATTATGTTCTCAATCATTGTTATTGACAATCAATAACCTTTAATGCTATCCAGGAATCATGAGTTAAAACTAAATCAAATGTCAACTTTAAAAAAAGTTTCTAACAAGTTGTAAGTTTAAGATAAAATATAACTTCAAATTAATAATACCGATAATAAATCAAACAATTAAATACTAATATATTAATTGGATATTAATTATAAAATTATAATATAAGACTTACTTCAGTGAAATTGACTGACTTAAGCATTCGGGACAATATATTGATCAAAAAGAAACCCCTGGTCTTAGTCGATAGGGTTCCGGCGTTTTGTGTGTTTATGTCATACATTATATTTTCCATTGACTGTAGATTAGGATTATTGGCTTTAATCTCGGACTTGGATTTATGTGAATCGCTGGTCTGGTATTCACCATCTTTGGCTGCTTTGG